GAAGATGAGAGGATATTTAGCAAGAAGATGGGAGGTCGGTGTTGGTGCAGCAATAAGCTGTTGAGCACATAGTGGTAGACTAGGAGCGGCAGTTTGTGAAGTTTTGCAGACTTTAGTATATACACTTTTATTTGAAGATGGGAGGATGATTGGGGTGCGACGAGAAGATGGTGCCGCAGCAATGCAGCAATAAGCAGATAACGGAGGTGAGAGGAGAGCAGTCCAATGCGGAGTGGGAGGCTGGGAGGGGGAGCGGCAGCTTTCTGAAGACAGAAGTGTTTGACTTTATGGTTCCAGTAAACTTATGTATATATATTATTTTCTTAATTAAATTTTAAAATATATAATTTTGTATTATATTCTATGGCAAGTTGGATTTTTTTACTATTGAATCTGAACCTGAATTGACCTTGTTTGGGTTCGGTTAAACTGGTCAGAGTGGATTTTGTGGATTGAGGATTTCTTGCCATCCCTAGCTAAAACCTTATGGGCAGAATTAATATTGCTAAACTATTGTGTATAATTTTCAAGAGTATTAAGGTGGTTTATTTTAAATTTGTATAAAAAAATATATTGAAAATAAAATCTAAAATATATCAATCACATTTATAAAATTCAATTCAGAGACCGAGATTGCTGAAGTGTTTAGAAGGGAAGGGAGAGAAGCGAGCCTGAGGAGCAAGGAGCTGGTCTGCAGCTGGTCTGCTATTTTCTAATGTTATATTCTGTTGAGATGTTGTTAGAATTTTGGAAACGAAGAATGAGAATTGTAGGAAGCGTTGTAAGAAAAATTCCCAAATTAAATGAAACCAGCAGTCTCTCAAGTTTTCTACACACTCTACTCCTACCTTCTTCTTATTCTTCTTCAACTCTTCTTTCCTGCTTTCTAACTCTTTACTTCCTGACCCTGAAATTATTCTTTTATTCACCTACCAAGTCAGGGTTGATGTCTAAAAACTCTTGACATTCAACAACTTATGTACGTTCCTGATGTAACCATGTATAATAGAATTTAAGATATAACTTGTAGTAATTAGTTATTCTAAAAACTTTAAATATGTAATAAATAAATGGCTCAATCTCTCCTTTAGATTGCACACTGTTAACAATTAAAATAATAGTGGCTAATGATTGCTTTAATTTCAATGTTTCCTATCAACAACTCATCAGTTTAAATCCCAAATTTTAGGTCTCCCTAGCTGTACCAGCATTACATTTTAATTTTAATTTTAATTTTTTTTGGGGGTGATCTTAATTAATTAAAAAGAAAAAAGAAAGAAAACTTTATTATTGAGGCCACTGGAGATGGTTGCCCCCACCTTCCATGACTTGTTCATAGCAGGGGGCCAACCTGTTCCCAAACACTGTGAGCTGTTTGGAAGGCCCACAATTAGGACAGAACTCAACTCTTTTTTTCCTTTCTTCTGTTTGTATTTTTTTCCCAACAATGAAATATTCTCCTTTGTCTTTCAATGGAGGGCCACCTTTAGATTTTAATTTGGTTCACAAATGTCACTGCTCCTTGCTAATCCGAGGGATAGGTGTTTAATCCCCAATCAATAATTCTCTATCTTTTTTCATTAAATTTACAACCAAAACTCTTATAAACATATAGATATTATGTTGATTTCGGTTCAAGCTAAATGTCTGTGTCTTTTTTTTTTTTTTTTTAAATTAATTAATTAGATGTGGAAAAACAAAATTTCTATTAAATATGTAAATTATGATGAAGTTTTATGTAGAAAATACTAAAATATGTAAATTTAGTAGTAATAGAATATATTTGAAATTTATACCAATCACAAACATAATGTTAATATTTAACTTATTTGAAGGTGAAGCAGTAATTTTCTCTTTAACCATCTCTCATTTCTGATCCTGTGTAGCTTTCAAATATCCTCTTGATAAAAATTTGATAACCAATCTAATAGGGCATGTCCTAATCAATCTTTTTATGTTTTTGTATTATATATTGTCGGAGGAGAGGGACTCGTCACATTTCTTCTGGTTTCAATTATATCTAACACAGCATATCTTCTATCATTAATTTATTTCTTATCGAAATTTACTTATATCTAAAAACAACTGGAACACACCCACTATATGCAATTAAATAAATATAAAAACATTATATATTGGAGAGAAAAAAAAAAAAACAAAAACAAAACATACGTGACATATTTAAGATAATAATATAAAATGACCCACTTAACTGAAAAAGGTGAAAAATATTTTTAGAAATCATGGAAATATGATTTCAGTTTATACAAAACGTAGAAGATATTGTTTTTGCAAACAATTTGAAAGCATATTTTGAATTTATAAATTTTTTTTTTTTTTTTTAAAAAAAAAAGAAAAGAGAAACAAGAAAAGAAATCATTTTAGTGTTGGCAACTTGTGGAAGGTTCATGCATGGGAAGAGAATGGGTTTTTAGGGTGGATATCCCTTCAAAAAGCGGCACTGCTGGGACGTTTTCAGTTTCAGGAGAACAACCTTATATATCTCATTAAACTGAAATTATTATTATTATTATCATCATCTTACAAAAAGTTGTGGTGTCTACACTTCTTTTTTGGTATGTTGGTTTGTCATTTTCACAGCTCTAGATTTAGATTGGTTGATTAATAATATATTTTTTAACTGGTACAAAGTCAGGATGAGTGTTTGTTTGAGAGCGTTTGGAAATCTATGAAGATTTAGTTTATTTCTTTTTTGTAAATCTGAAGGGTTTATTTGTTAGCTCTCAACCAATGATAACAAGAGCATGTAGAGAGAAGCGAGGAACTAGTTTTCCCCCTAATATTTTTAGATGATAGAAGAATAGCAGACAAGCTAGTAGTAATCTCATGATCATGTCAACCAAACCAATTACTATTCTTCTCTTGTTCCTCAAAATTCTTTTGTTTCCAGCCATTTCTGCTTTGAATCAAGAAGGTCTGTCTCTACTTTCATGGCTTTCAACCTTTAATTCTTCACCCTCTGCTACTTTCTTCTCTTCATGGAATCCATCCACCAAAACCCATGCACGTGGGACTACATTGAATGTTCGAGTGATGGCTTTGTTCGGCATATTACAATTACCTCTATTCATCTTCCTACCACTTTTCCCACACAACTCCTCTCCTTTCATCACCTTGCAACTTTAATCCTTTCAAATGGGAACCTCACTGGCCACATTCCACCTTCTATAGGAAACCTTTCATCGCTCGTCACCTTGGACCTCAGCTATAATCTTCTAACTGGAAAAATCCCTGCAGAAATTGGGAATTTAGCTGAATTGCAGTTGTTGGCACTAAATACAAATTTGTTGCACGGTGTGATTCCGCCTGAAATTGGAAACTGTTCAAATCTTCAACAGCTTGAATTCTTTGATAACAATCTATCAGGAAGGATTCCTGCACAAGTAGGACAACTAAAAGCTTTGGAGATTTTTCGAGCTGGTGGAAACTCAGGATTTCGTGGAGAAATCCCAATGCAGATATCAAACTGCAAAGAACTAGCCTTTTTGGGTCTTGCAGATACTGGAATTTCAGGACAAATACCAAGCAGTTTAGGGGAGCTGAAGAATCTCCAAACTCTTTCAATCTACACAGCCAATCTTACTGGCAATATACCAATAGAACTTGGCAATTGTTCAGCCTTAGAGAACATCTTTCTGTATCAGAACCAACTTTCAGGTAAGATTCCCAACGAATTGGGCTTGCTAAAAAATCTCAAGAGGGTGTTGTTGTGGCAAAACAATCTAAGTGGGAGCATTACCGAATCTCTAGGTAACTGCTCCAGTTTGATGGTCATTGATTTGTCATTGAACTCTTTAAGTGGTGAGTTGCCCTTGTCTATGACATATTTAATGGCATTAGAGGAGCTCCTTTTGTCTGGCAACAACTTGTCTGGAGAAATTCCACTGTTTTTCGGCAACTTTTCTAATCTAAAGCAACTTGAATTGGACAATAATAGTTTTAGGGGTAGGATTCCACCAACAATTGGCCAATTGAAACAACTTTCACTATTCTTTGCCTGGCAGAATCAACTCCATGGAAGCATACCAGTTGAGCTGGCCAACTGCGAGAAACTTCAAGCATTGGATCTTTCACACAATCTGCTTACTGGGTCAGTTCCATATTCTCTCTTCAATCTCAAAAACTTAAGTCAAATGTTATTGATATCAAATAGGATTTCAGGAGAAATTCCACCAGACATTGGGAATTGCACCAGCTTGATACGTTTAAGACTAGGATCAAACAACTTTAGTGGTCATATTCCGTCTGAAATCAGGTTCCTGCATAACTTGAGCTTCTTAGAATTATCAGAAAATCAATTCACGGGAGAGATTCCTCAAGAGATTGGCAATTGCATTCAGCTAGAGATGGTAGATTTGCATGACAATAAGCTCCAAGGGACAATCCCTTCATCTCTTGCATTTCTTGTCAATCTCAATGTTTTAGACATTTCAATGAATAACATAGGAGGAACTATTCCGCCAAATCTGGGCAAATTAATTTCCTTGAATAAACTTACCATAAGTGGAAACAAAGTTACAGGTACAATTCCTAAAAGTCTAGGCCTTTGCAAGGATTTGCAGTTGTTGGACTTGAGTAGAAATAAACTCGTCGGTCCTATCCCTAATGAGATTGGTCAATTGCAAGGATTGGATATTCTACTCAACCTGAGTTGGAATTCTCTCAATGGCCCAATTCCGGGAGGCTTCTCAAATTTATCAAAGCTTGCCAATTTAGATCTCTCTCACAACATGTTAACAGGAAACCTAGCAGTTCTCAGTAGCCTTGACAACCTTGTTTCTCTGGATATCTCCTACAACGAATTTTCTGGCATCCTTCCCAACACCAAGTTCTTCCAAAGTCTCCCTCCCACAGCGTTTTTTGGTAATCAAAATCTTTGTATCAATACAAAAAAATGTCATTTAAACAGGGCTCACCATGCCGGGAAATCCACAAGAAATCTTGTTATATGCACTCTTCTTAGTGTCATTGCAACTATGATATTCGTTGTCGTTGGTGTACTTTTGTTCATCAAATTCCATGGAGTTGCATTTGGGATGATTGATGAAGATCACAATTTGAAGTGGGATTTCACACCATTTCAAAAGTTTGATTTCTCAGTAAATGATATTTTGACAAGGTTGTCAGAATCTAATGTTATTGGGAGGGGTTGTTCAGGCACGGTTTACCGAGTTGAAACTCCCACCAAACAGGTTATTGCAGTAAAAAAGCTATGGCCAGTCAAGAAAGAAGAGCTTCCAGTTCCAGAGAGGGATTTGTTTTCTGCAGAAGTCGAGACACTTGGATCCATAAGGCATAAAAACATTGTGAGGCTTTTAGGATACTGTAACAATGGGAAAACTAGATTGCTCTTGTTTGATTACATAAGTAATGGGAGTCTGGCAGGGCTTCTCCATGAAAACAGGACTTTCTTGGACTGGGACGCAAGATACAAGATCATACTTGGAGCAGCCTACGGTTTAGCTTATCTTCACCACGATTGTATTCCCCCAATTATTCATCGTGATATCAAGGCGAATAATATACTGGTGGGACCGCAGTTTCAAGCCTTCCTGGCAGATTTTGGACTAGCAAAGCTTGTTGACTCATCAAAAAATTTGAGACCGTCCCACATTGTTGCTGGGTCTTATGGATACATTGCTCCTGGTGAGTATAAAAACAGATCACTTTCAAATTCATTTATAACAGTTTCTCCACAATTATTTTTAGAAGATTAGAAGCCGGTTGAATTTCACATCCCAAAATACATTTTCTTCAAGTTGGGTATCTATATAATGCATACTTGAGGGCTAAAAGTTGAAGTTCTGTTATCATATTTGCAGAATATGGATACAGTATGAGGATCACAGAAAAAAGCGATGTATATAGCTATGGTGTGGTGCTCCTAGAAGTCTTAACAGGAAAACAGCCAACTGATAGTAGAATCCCAGATGGTGGTCACATTATCAGCTGGGTAAACACGGAACTGCGGGAAAGAAAAAGAGAGTTCACAGCGATTCTTGATCAACAACTGTTGCTACAATCAAGTACGCAGATCCAAGAGATGCTTCAAGTGCTTGGGGTGGCTCTTCTTTGTGTGACTCCTTGTCCTGAGGAAAGACCAACAATGAAAGACGTGACAACAATGCTACAGGAGATTAGACATGAAAAACAGGATTTTGAAAAGCCAAATTTGCTTTGCAGAAGAGTAATGATTAATCCAAGAACAGCAATTCACTCTTCTAGTTTCTCTAGATCATCTGAACCTTTAATTAGGTCATAGTTGATTACTTTCCCAAAATTAAATATTTATAATTCCATCTGTATTTTTTTTCAAGTAACACAAAAGGAAAACATTTGTATAGACTGACATCTTGGAGGATTAATGGGATTTCATGTAAATTCCCTTGTATAACTTACCTATAATCTGTTTCTGAGTTCACTTCCTAGTTTCTTCTTGTGTTATTTCTTTATAGCAAACAACTCATGCAAGCTTGTTTTCTTTGAGTACATGACTCATTTAGAATTATATCATGTCATTCATGCGACAACAATGACAACTTGATATGCATATCCAGGGATTTTAGACTTCTTTCACTAAAAACAGAAGCTAAAAATTGAAAGATCTCAAGCTTTCCCAACATCTTACTCTTAACAAAGATGCAAAGATCTCAAGCTTCATCCTCTTGAAAGGATCCTTTGCTTCTAGTCATGTGATATTAAAAATATATATATATATATATATATATATTAGGTACCCGTACAGTCATTCTATCTCAACATACAAATAATCACCAATCAAAGTCACGTTATATTTAGCTTCCTATATAAGCAATTTCACCTTTAATAACGTGAGTGAGGTGCAGTTCATTTGATTTTACTCCAAAAAGCAAAGGTTTTTAGGATTTGCAATAAAAATTAAAACATATATTATAGTATACACCTCATTTAAAAATATGTCAAAAGATATTTCTGAAATTTTTTGAAATTCTAAAACCTCAAAAATTGAGATCACTTTCCACAGTTATAAAATTATTTTGATGAAATTATTAAAAATAAATTAAAAATATATATATTATATGATTTTCAAAAAATATATAAAAAATTAACTTCAAATTTATTCCGGGATTGAATCACATTTTTAGACACTTTTTGCAAGTTAAGAATGAGATTCATTTTGTAGATCTGAAAAATTATTTTACATTAAAATGATCAAATCCTCAACATTATGTCACGATATCTGTCAATTCCGAGTGATTCAAAATGCAGTTTTAGTAGTATTGAAAAGTTTGTTTGAAGGAGTATCGTCTCTATATGAGAATCACCTCAAGTGGTGACCGAAAATATACTTTCTGGTGCCGCCAAGTTGGTCAAATATCATGCGAGAAACTCAAATCTGTTTTTTTATAATTCAATCTTTTCTCACTGTACGATATGGTTAGTTGCGATTTTTGCACAGACGGAAAGCAAACATCGAGAGCTTTTCCAGTAATATATTATTTGTTATATAAATTTACTTTAAAAATTTTCTAGAAGACTTTTTTCTTAAATATCATTCAAAGAAGTTTTAAATTACCGAGTATTCTACGAATTAGTAATACAAATTTTTAGACTTTTATTACACTGAGAGAAATATCCATCAGGACAAAAATACTATAGATACAAACAAGATATAAAAAAGAAATGTTATTGTAGAAAAACTTAAAATATATATATATATATATATATGTAAATTACATACTAACCAACTCTTGTATATTTTCTATCAATACAAGAAAATTAATTAATACCAACTCCGGTTTTATCTAGTCACTAAATCTTTCCTCCTCCGTATTGGTTGAGAGGCGTATACAACTTGTATAGGGAAATAAATATAGAGTTTAAGAAGTTGATATTTATAATTGTTTATTAAAATTTGTTTAGAAAAATTCTAATGACTTAATATTTAATTAATTGATGAATTTCTTATTTATGTTATATACATGTGTGTGTGTGTGTGTGTGTGTTTGCCTGGGCGTTAAAAGGGCAAAGAAATCATTTTCCTGTTTCCAAAAATGTTTAAAAGAATTTTTTGAAATTTCACTTTTTTTTTTTTCAAGTTCATCTAATTTTTCATGGTCATTGTTAAAAAACTGTTGCAGTTAAAAATTTCAGGTTGAAATGTTCAAGTTTTAGCGGCAGCGTGAAGTCACATAAAGTCTTCTTTCATGCCAGGACGTGTGCTTCTGTGTAATACTGGAAATTGATGGCGTAGCATCGTCCTCGTCCGCCATCATTTTCTCATGTTGCAAAGTATGTAATTCTCACGTATTATACAAAAGTTCTTGTAATTTACTATTAACTCAGAATTGCTATTGACTCTAAAATATCACAAATAGTATTACACATACAATTTATCATCACCTTGTTTGTCATCGTTAAAATATTATGTTATTTCCTCTTGACTGTGACCCAATTGTGCTTTTCATGCCTGAAACGACACTACTGATTGAAGCCAAATGTATCATCATGTCATGCTCTGCCAGAAATACAAAAACGTTTTGAATTTTGACATCAATTTGTGCCGACCCCCAAGCATGTAATGTTCAAGAACATTTTCTTCTAGTATTTCAATCAAATAGTGTTTTGAAGGTAAAAACTAATAAATGACTGACTTTGCAATATTTCCATTCTACATTTTCTGCTCGCTTGTATTCCAAAATAGTTTTTCAATAAAAATTAGGACAGATAAAGATAATTATGCAAAATATAAATTTGATCAATCCTTGAACAAGAGTACTGGAAGAAAATAACTGTCTAACATCGCACCCTACACCGGCTTGCTTAACATGAACTAATGGCAAAACATAATCATGCAACATCAAAATACAGCATGAAATGATACTTAAAATGACATATAGGTTATATTTCAAGCCTTAAGTTAGTTAAGATGTAATTAGTAACAAGATTCAAGTTCTCATTACTAACAACTTCGGGTTTAAAAGTTTTAACACAAGCATTCACAGAGAACTTGAGGAAAAAATGGTCTGAAGATGAATGATGGTGGTTGAGTAATTAACGTTAGGATGATCGTTGGATTTGGTAAAGAAGAATAAGACAGGTAATTTAACTAGCAATGTGCTAAAGAAACTAGCACAAAGAAGACGAATAAATATCTCTTAACATGGTTTTAGTTCCATCTACAGGCGAACCGCACAAAATCACCTGATATTAAGAAGACATGCTACTCTATGAATATTCTGTTCAAAAAGAATATACCTGTGCAGATTACGTTCTTGAAAGAGCAAAAAGCAACAGTCCAAGATTATGCTATGCCTCTGTCTGTGGATGCCACTTTATGCTGCAGCCAACACTTTTGGCAAATGGAAAATACTTGATCCCAGGCATACAAAAATGGAGAGCCAAAACATTTTTTTTAAGTGCAAATTAGGAATAAACAACAGTTTAAATAAATACCTAGGTTTCTGAACTGGGGATACTGGCTGTCCACTAAGAACACAGTCAATTGCTAGGCTTATATCCCTGTAGAAAATAATACCAAGCAGATTGCTAATATTATAATATACTAAATAAATTTAAATCCGATTCATATTAACCCAGAAATGGCTGAATAACTGACCTTCCTGTAACAGGTACATTATTGCTTGGCCGAGAATCATCAAACTGACCATGGTAGACCAGCTCAAATGGTCTACGCCCATCCTATCACAATGTGATTAACTTACAAACAATTGAAATGGTTTTAAAGAGGAGATTTTCCTATCCTCTAGCATAAATAAGACAGTATGATTCATAGCTAGGTGCAGAAGAGAATTTCATAGAGTATATTCATAAAACTGAGCCTTCAGGAGAGAACTGAGAAGAGATTTCATGTTTGAGAGTTCTTCTCGTACAGTATTAGTTCCAATTTGGGGTCAACAACATAAATCTCCCCTCAAGGAAGTATTTATGTTTATAAGATTGTGCCATAACTTTTCTTAGCAGCCTGTTTGCTCTGTATCATAATTCTGCCTATGAAGTGCAACCACTAGGCAAAGCAAAGGTAAAAAGATATCAAACTGGTAATGCAGGCTTTGGTACCTTTTTAAATAGGAAAAATTCTGGAGTACAAACTGCTCTGAAATCTCGTGCAACATCTTGTGACTGCAATCCAACATTTTCAACTATACAGTGGGCACTTTGATGGGAAGATATATTCATAAGTAAATTGCACATCTCATGTTAAGGATCCTAAGCACCAAAAAAGAATAATAGTAATAATAACAATTCAGAATTAGCTATTTCTGTTTTAGGTATTTAGGGATGTTTTTATGTATTTTATGAATATTTTAGAGGTTTTATCTCTGTACACGTGGGAATAAATTTTGTCAACTAGTTGTTAAAGTTGACCAAGTCCAGGAAGATAAGACTAGGCCGTTGGAGAAATTATTCATAAGTCAGCAGTTCCTCAACAGTTTTGGCAGTACCTATTTTCTGCCAGCAAGGGAAACTGTTTATGTAACTTCTGCTTTATAAATTCCCATTTCTAATCTAAGAAAGGTAGGAAAGCAAATCATTAAAGATGTTGAGTACTTATTTACTCAAAAGATTGTAGGATTCTCTCTTAACGAGCCCTAATTTACTTCAAAATTGGCAAAGGTAGGAAAACTCAAAAACATTAAAAAAAATTTGCAGATTTTCATTTTAATCGTCCCATAACTAGATCCATCAGTAAGGACCATAACATCTCAAGAGAATGCCGTAAATTTTTTACATTTACTTTACGAACTTGGTTTTACACAATCACAGCCCAGGGAGTTATAATGTGATAGCCAAATATCTACCCATATTGCTTCAAACCCAGTTTTCCAATAGATAAATAAACAGATTGAAGTTGCTTCTTATTTTATTTAAGAAAAGCTTCTAGAGAATAATTATTAGGACCACCCATCAGAACTCAGCAGACCAATTAGCAGATATATCTATGATCTAGATATGCTTAAAAAGTGCTTAGTGGAAGCTTGTGCGAAGTTCTTTAACAAGCTTCGCGCACATGGTATATATGATCCAGCTTAAAGAGGTCTTACAATATGGTATGTGGCCCTCATAATTTTACTTTCCTTGAGCATTGGGATCCCTACAGATACCTATACATTTTTTCCTTTTCAACGGATGGTAGAAGTTGCAACATTGTCCACAACAAAGAGAGACAAAAGAATGACTAAGAAAGGAGAGAAGTTGGCAGTTGATGTGAACATACCTCATCATATAAATAGGGAAAAGGGTATTTAAATAGTTTAGACTCTTCTGCCATGAATTCTGGCCCATCCTGAGAAGAACAGTTCCATTTGGAACAAAATCATGGAACGTCTTCTATGCAGCATAATGTCAAATTATGTAGTTATTAGAACCTGAGGGTGAGTGACTATAGAATTTGAAGATATTGCAACAACTGCAAGTCCTTTCTGCAAAATAATTCAATAAACTTTGGAAGCATTACTCTGCTATGTCATAACTTCAGCCAAATACTAAATCAAAAGTAAAATGAACCAAGCCTTTCAGGGGAAATTTATTCAGCTACCTTCATGTAGAAATTAGCAAGCTTTACAAAATCTTGTTTCAAGTGTTTAACAAATGGGCAATGGTTGCAGATGAACATAACCTGCAACACCACATTGCTGCTATCACATTTTGTTCACCATGGCTGAATATATTTGCAGTGGATTACTACGATAAATTCTTGTCAGTAAGGAAATAGAAAATAGCAATTCTTGGTGAAGTAACAGTCATGATTTATGGAACATACTGATAATTTAAGTCACAGCTTATATACAGACATAGATTGCATATTCCTTTACCATCTAACAGCTTTTTTCCATAAGCTAAAATTTAATACATTTCATCAACCACATTACTGATTCTAAATTTCAGACATAAACCACTAACTCCTCAAGTATAACAACTTCCTTCTAAGAAATGATTTAACCAAATTCCAGAGTAAATATAGACCTCAAGATTCGTATTCTAAGGAACTAGTAAATCCTACTTTTCAAACCATTTTATTCTTCAAAAAGAATCATCAATCCCTACAGTCAGACTCTAAATTTCTGAATATAATCTAGGATATCATTATCACACATTATCTAGAATTCCATCTGACAAAATTTTGTCAAAATTTTTCAAGTATATTCATACCCAATCTGCTTTTTTCACAAACTAGTATCGCCACTGGACATGCAGAACAAAAAGAATAATTCTCTTTTATTACTCTAATTTATGTATTTAACCTCGCTTCCGCCTTCAGTCACCCAACATTCATATCAACTTATGTGTTTACTTATCATTAGTCTATCACCAATTCACCACTCCCATTGGAAAAACCCTTAGTTTATCATATAGTTTT